GGTCTTCAGAAAATGTTTCCCATCTGCAGGCATAACAGTAAGCCACTGCTGCAAACAACACTAACAGCCTCATCTGAAAGAGAAGTCAAATACAGATTAATCAATTAGCAAACATTGATTTTTTTCTTACAATATACAGTATGTACATTTGCAAAATTTGTTTTGTTTAAAATAATATATTAAATATATTACACTAAATACATCTATAAAAGAAAACTTCAGTAAGGATGCATAAATAAAATGTTAGTGTGCCATCTACTGTAGGTTACATATATTACAAAATAGTTACATATAACAGTTGAAGAAAACAAAAAGTTTTTTCAGTACCGTGTTGTGGTGAGGAATACAAGACTGTTAAATAAAACACAAGAAGCATTGTACAAGAACGGTCTTGACTCTTGAACTGCTACAATTTATAGAGTACTTCCTTTATATGTAATCAATAGACTGTTCCTCCAGTGCCTGACACAAATTTAGTTTGGTAGGGTCTCTGTAGATATTAGATATCAACATTGATGTTTCGCTTGAAATTCAAGTGAAGTTATTCAAATTGCTCTTGGGTAAAGATTTTGTGTCTGAATGCAAAACGGTTACTTTTTTGGTGATTTTTGTTGCACAATAATTAATTAAATAAGTTTTCTTGGTATTTTACTTAAAAAAAACATTGTCAAGCCGAAGAAACAAAGCAGTAATCTAATTATTCTTATCATTCTGGTGTTTGCAAGATCTTATATTTGTTTTGTTTATTTTTATTTACATTTTAAATCTGTTTGCTAAGCTTGAAACATACCTTGAAACACAACTTTTACTCTCATCCTAATAGCAGCCAAAGGGTTTTAATACACAACATGTACACTGCACATAACAAATGCTTTCTTTTTTCCTTTTTTTGTAGTTTTAAAATTGCACTGCACGCTTTTTTGTTTAGATTTTACATTGGCTGTTTATTGTAAAAACAATATTGTTGGTGAGTTGTTTTTTACCATCTCTAAAAAAAAAAAAACATTTAATCGGTTTGCATAAGTAAATGTTTTTACTGATATGCATCTTTAGCTGAAGCATAACAATAAAGTAAATATTCTTCAAAACCGGAACAACTGCTCGTTTATTTGCTCTCTTGAATTCTGAGAATTTGATTAACAGTTAATCTTAGTGCGACAAGTTTCAATCTCGTGACAATGCGTGTTAAATGCTGAGTTCAAATGCTAAAAAAGATCAAGTCTGTCAGCGGCAGCCCTTTTTAAGCAGTGTAAGTGGTTTCATAATACTGTGTTCAGACAGTAATGCAGCTTTGATCCTTCATTTTTCATATGTACCTGAACGCTCAGAACAAGAGTTCAATTTGATAATATGAGAAAACTGACAGCAGACGCAGAGCCGATCTTCTCCGTGTTTTTAGCCCTAATTAGAAACACATTTCAAGCATTTCAGGGGACCTTTCAGCTTCAAGTTGTCAACTTTTACAAGCCAAAACTGCTTTCCACAACTGAACAGTAAAATTGTAAAAAAAAATCACCTTATTAACCTAGTTAAGCCTTTAAATGTCACTTTAAGCTGTATAGAAGTGTTTTGAAAAATATCAAGTAAAATATTCTTTACTTTTACCATGGCAAAGATAAAAAAAATCCATTATTAGAAATAAGTTCATAAAACTATTATGCTTAGAAATGTGCTGAAACAATCTTCCCTCCATTAAACAGAAATTGGTGAAAAAAAAATAAAGGGGCGCTAATAATTCAGGGGGGCTAATAATTCTGACTTCAACTGTATATATATATATATATATATATATATATATATATATATATATATATATATATATATATATATATATATAGTAGAGTATATACAGTAGAGACCAAAAGTTTGGACACACCTTCTCATTCAAAGATTTCTTTTTATTTTCATGACTAAGAAAATTGTAGATTCACACTCAAAATTGTAGAATTAAAATCCAATCTACAAGTTAATGACAAACTGCAGCCAGTAAGTTACTGTAGATTTTATAGGAAATTGTTAAGTGTTGCCTTAGTTTTCTAGTATGTAGTAAAGGAATCCACACAGTGAAAGAATTTCTTCAGTCAAACACAAAATAAGATAAGAAGAATACTTTTCATAACATTGCAAAATCCATAGCATTTTTGTTCCAAGATCTCAGTGGTGAGGGGCAACTTTTACTTAATACAATTTTAACAGTGAGTAAAGGAAAGACTGCACTTTCTTTTTTATGATATTGTACTTTAAATACACCCAGTGGTTGTCTTTTGATGACTAAAGTGTCATCTCTTGATGTTTTAATGAGATGCAGGGATTGGATCAAATGAATAAACTCACAGTAGTGTGACCCTAATGCAGATAAACAAAGCAAAAATATACCTGTTCTTAACTTTTCTTTGCGAAAACATGTGGTCTTGCCATAACACTAGTCTGTGGACATTTCACTTGGAAACTGCTGTTGTCCTTATATCCAATATTATCTGTAGCCGCATTTTGAATTATCTGTAACACATATTTTTTTTTTTTGCATAGATGTGGATGTACAGTAGGTATAGCAACATTACAATGTGGGTTATTAGTGGTGTGTTGAGAAACTATTTCCTGTTCATAGGCATTACAGCAAACTCACAGTTATAAATAAATCATATTTCTCCAATGTATTTCCCTTGAATGCTACAGAAATTGATACTGTACTATAGTGCAAAAGAAAACTTTTTTTTTGCTGTACAGTATATTCACTTACAGCAAATAAACAATAATAAAATATTTAGGAGTAAAAATTGTAAAGTAATTTGATACAGTTGAAGTCAGAATTATTAGCCCCCCTTCGATTTATTTATTTATTTATTTATTTTTATGATGTTTAACAGAGCCAGGAAATTTTCACAGTATGTCTGATAATATTTTTTCTTTCGGAGAAAGTCTTACTTGTTTTATTTTGGCTAAAATAAAAAGCATTTTTAAAGGTTTTGAAAAAAACATTTTAAGGTCAAAATTATTAGCCCCTTTAAGCTAGTTTTTTTCTCGATAGTCCACAGAACAAACAACCATTATACAGTAACTTGCCTAAATACCCTAACCTGCCTTGTTGACCTAAATAACCTAGTTAAGCCTTTAAATGTCACTTTAAAAATATCTAGTCATATTTTATGTACTGTTATATTGGCAAAGATAAAATGAATCAATTATTAGAAATGAGTTATTAAAACTTTTATGATTAGAAATGTGTTGAAAAAATCCTCTCTCAGTTAAACAGAAATTAGGGAAAAAATCTACAGGGGGGCTAATAATTCAGGAGTGCTAATAATTCTGACTTCAACTGTATATTCAAATATATTTTATGTGCATTCATATATGGCCATATTATTATATAACCTGTAATTATATATAATATATCTAAACATGGATGCAATACCAATGGTTGAAAAAAGATATTTGTGAAATATTTGTATTTTTGCTATGTATTTTGAAATATGTTGCATATATTATATATTTTTATATGTGAGATCCAAATAAGAACATATTTAATTAGCATCATTTCCATAAATCAAATTTAAATATAGGTTTGCTTGATAACCAGTTCTTCCAAAGTGAGCATTCTCTGTATGCTGGAATGACTACTGTGCATCAGATAAATCATTGTTAACCTATTCATTTTTCTGCTACTGTACACTTGGCCTACTTACCGGTTACAGTACTTTGCATCTGCGATTGATGGAAATCTACAGCACTTATCCAAACCAAATAATTACATTGGTGGAGTGGGATATGATAAATATACAATCTTTCACTTGATGCATGAAGTTCAAATAAAAGCTCTATTCAATCTTTGATTGAAGTTTCCTTTGGTAAATATTCTTAAGAACTAGTTGAGTTTCTCAATGCAAAGTGATCAGTTATAAAATATGACTTTATCATTTTTCTCTTTATTATGGTTCTGTTTCAAAAGTAATTTGAGAAGAAACAACTTAAGCAAAGTGTGAAATATAAAATGTTGTGCGGTAGGCTGCTGAATGCTGGATTCTGAAAATGAAAGATTTTGCCCTGAGTTTTTATCTGTTAAAAATGGATGTGTCTGTGTGCATTCAGAATTGTTAATAATTAATAATTACTTAACGAAAGACACAACATCAATACCAAAGGAGCAATGTTTATGTAAATGATATTAAACTTTTCAATTAAGTTGTTTAAATTTAGGAACTTGGAAATTGCATGTGCAAGTGTTGCATTATATTACATTAATCATTCATTTGAATTCAACTGACCCAGCCGAGGCTCAAACCAGCAACCTTCTTGCTGTGAGACGAGAGCTCTGCCCACTGCGCCACCATGCTGCCCATATTATATTATATTATATTATATTATATTATATTATATTATATTATATTATATTATATTATATTGTATTATATTATATTATATTATATTATATTATATTATATTATATTATATTATATTATATTACATTATATTATATTATATTACATTATATTATTCCTACATTTTCGGCTTAGACTCTTTATTAATTTAGGGTCGTCACAGCGGAATAAACCGCCAACTTATTCAGCATATGTTTTACGCAACAGTTGCCCATCCAACTGCAACCCATCACTAGGAATCATCTATACACACACATACACAATTTAGCTTACCCAGTTCACCTACCACATGTCTTTGGACTTGTAGGGGAAATAAATAATTTATCATTACTAAAATACTCTTTGATTTTAAATCTTCAGAGTTGCATGAGTCAAATTATTAGTTTTTCATGAAGTAAAAAATAAAAATAAATAAAAAACAAGGAGATTTTTTCAAAACAGAGCCACGATTGTAACTCACTTGCTTAATAACTAATTAAAACAGTTCATTATTTCTGTGTCGTTTTATTATTTTGTGCCCATATCAATTGTGAAAATTGTGAAAAAAAAACCTTAAAACCCATGGCTCCTGATGATACATTATTTCAGTACCAATAAATAATCTATAGTGCATTCACAACTGTTTGGAGATGTACTGTATATGTTTTATTTTTGTCTCTCAAAACTGCTGGAAGCCATTGACTTGTATTTTAAATCACCTATGGCTTGAGGGTAAATATAAGAACAGCAGATTGCAAATTTTGGGTGTCCCATCCCTTTAAGCCTCCTGCACATCAATTGAGCCTTATGTTGACACATTTATGACGCACATATTCTATAAATGCACAGACATACATAGATACATACTTTAAGGCATTTTTATTTAAAATGCTGTTTAAATCTGCAGGATTACCCTGTTTTTTATTGGAGAACTTTCTTTTATTTGATATCTCTTGATGTTACTGGTTTTCTTCTTGTGGTTCAGCTCCAGAGCCATCAGAATCATTTTGACCATTGTTGTCATCATGGTAAAATCTGTTTAAAAACAAAAATATGCAAATGGTGTTTGTATGTAGGTTTATGAGAAAAATCTCTCATTATGATACAAGTCATCTCATATCCTGACATACACAATGATATACATTTGATGTTAACATTATTAATCCTTTGGTAAAATTGTAATTACTGTACGTTAAAAATATTTCTCAGGAATAGTTTTTAACACTTTTTGAACAGCAGTTTTAATAACTAATTTATTTTTGCCTTTGTCATTATACTATATTCAGCTTAAAGTACAATTCAAAGACTTAACTAGGTTAATCAGCTTTTTTATAGATTAAAAACTGATTTTATTCCAGCCAAAGGTTTTAATAAAATCCTTTAAACTGAGGCTTCCTTCATCTCGGTGGCCGAGAGAGCTTTACGTCTTGCAATTTAAGAAAACACTTGCAATTACAAAAAACAACAGCAAATTAAGAAAAGCTTATCTGTTTGACAGCACAAATGCTGGAAATCCCCACAACGTATACACATTAAAAAGGTCTGCTGCATTTTCCCACAATGCAAACATTTTAATAAAACGTGCTGCATTTATTTTCTTACAACGCAAAAACATCAGAACACAACGGAAATGTTTCAAAGGTAACCAAAAACGTGACGGACACCCGTGTGCCATGACTATTGCTCAGTGAAGTTGTAGGTGATCTTTGAAAGGTGAGTTTTTTGTTTTTTGTCTTAAGTATTTATTAGACTAAATAACTGTATCCTATATAGCCAAGTCTGTAAGAAAATGTGGCACGTTTTCGTAATTTTTTTTTGCTGTGAGAAAATGCTGCACGTTTTATAAATTTTTTTGCATTGTGAGAAAATGCTGCGCGTTTTAATAATTTGTTTGCGCTGTGAGAAAATGCAGTGCATTTTCTTAATTTGTTTGCGCAGTGAGAAAATGCAGCGCGTTTTATTAATTGTGTTATGAGAAAATGCAGCGCGTTTTATTAAATGTTTGCTTTGTAAGAAAATGCAGTGCGTTTTTTTAATTTGTTTGCATTGTGAGAAAATGCAGTGCGTTTTATTAATTGTTTGTGTTGTGAGAAAATGCAGCACGTTTTATTAATTGTTTGTGTTGTGAGAAAATGCAGCACATTTCATTAATTGTTTGTGTTGTGAGAAAATGCAGCGCGTTTTATAAATTGTTGTGAGAAATGGAGTTTATTCATAAACTAATTTCGAGAGGAGCACGTGATTATGATTGAATACGGCTGGTTCTGCATTAGCATGCATGATCCACCAATCAGGCCATTCCTAACCCACTATAAAGAGCCAGGGTTTTTTCACTACAGTCATCTTCGATTTGAAGAATCCCTCCTTCCACCCCTACCTCTTTACCTTTCCCTCCATAGGGTGGCACGGTGGCCCAGTGGTTAGCACTGTTGCCTCACAGCAAGAACACCACCAGTTTTAGTTCTTTAACAGGCCGGTGGTCGTTTCTGTGCGTAGTTTGCATGTTCTTCCCGTGCTCGTGTGGGTTTTCCCCGGGTCCTCCGGTTTCCTCCCACATTCCAAAAACACAAAAAGTGAATTGATCAATCTAAATTTTACACTACAGTTAATCTCTCACCCTACAGCATATCTTTTCATAGCATTCAATTTTTATTCATCAGTTTTTGTCAAGGGGGAGTGGTCGAGATCTACCTGAGCTCAAGGCTGCCCTCTCGTCCTCAAATGGGAGGGAGCCCAGGGCTCAATTAACTTTTGAGCTCAGGGCTCTCCGGGGACAGCATGCCAAACTTGCTTATAATTAATCATCAGCTAAGTGTGAACTCTTAAAAATGCTGCTTATTTTCTGGATTTGTTCGCATTGAGAAAATGCAGCTCGTTTTATTAATTGTTTGCTTTGTGAGAAAATTCAGCGCGCTTTATTGTTTGCGTTGTAAGAAAATGCAGCACATTTTATTAATTGTTTGCGTTGTAAGAAAATGCAGCTTGTTTTTACAAAAAATTATGTTTGCTATGTGACTATTAACAGCATATGTGCTGTCAAATGGATAAAAATCTTTTCTCAATTTGCTGCCGTTTTTTGTAATTGCACGTTTTCTTAAATTGCAGCACAATAAGCTCTCTCACCCCCTGTATTAACATCTTATGATGCAGCAACCGAAATATGCAACCACATAAGTTTCACGAACACATAATGAGTAATTTTGCCACATCAACAGTAAACTGTTGCATTGTTCATTTGAGAATGACTTACTGGCCGTAGTCTTGAGGGATGTAATCATTGTTAGTCGATCCATTGCTATTGTTACACAGAAAAACATGGCATTTGAAGTCTGTTTACAGTGAATGAGTAATTAGTTTATGATAGTAAAGTTATGAAAAATAAGAGGCAAACATACAGTCACACTGACATAAAATGAGCCGATCTTAACTAGTAAGCGTTTTCTCAGTGTTTATGTCAGAATGGCTGACTTACGGGTCATAGTTTGCAGTGACTTGGTTATTTTCCAACACTCCATCCGAATCACTGATTTCAGATCTATTACAACACATAAAATGAAAAAGCAATGTTAAAATGGAAACTGCTCCCCTCTTGCTAAATCTAAAATGTTGCAGTGATTATCACAAAATGACTTACACGTCCTCCTTTTCAGAAGAAGACACATCACCACTTCCAGAGCTGTTACAACACACACACAACACACACACATGCAAATGTGCAGTATACATCCAATAACAATTGCTCTGTCATTTTTTTATCACGATTAAACATTATTAGAACCAATTTTAACTATTAAACATACATTGCTGTCTAATTCTTATTGAACTTTAGACCTTTGTCTACAGCACACACACAAAAGTAAATGTACAGTTTACATTACATACAGTATTAACTGCCCTGTGTCATTTTTTTTTGTGTTTTAACATTTTAATGACCACTTTTAACTACAAAACAAGCATTGCTGTCTATTTCTTACTGTATTTCTCACTTAATGAAATGTAAACTTAATTTTCGAATGACTTACTGTTCACTTTCAGACATGAAGTTGATGCTAGAGCTTTGTCTACAACATACACACAAAAGCAAATGTACAGAATACATTGCATAGTAATAACTGCCCTTTGTCATTTTTGAATGAGGATCAATCATAAGAACCAATTTTAACTACTAAACAAGCATCACTGTCTAATTCTTACTGTATTTCTCTCTTAATGAAATGTAAACTGTTCATTTTAGAAGGACTTACTGTTCACTGTCAGACATGAAGTTGATGTTAGAGCTTTGTCTACAACACACACACAAAAACAAATGTACAGTTTACATTACATACAGTATTAACTGCCCTGTGTCATTTTTATTGTGTTTTAACATTGTAATGACCACTTTTAACTACAAAACAAGCATTGCTGTCTACTTCTTACTGTATTTTTCTCCTAATGAAATGTAAACTGTTCATTTTCGAATGACTTACTGTTCACTGTCAGACATGAAGTTGATGTTAGAGCTTTGTCTACAACACACACAAAAGCAAATGTACAGTATACATTACATACAGTAATAACTTCCCTTTGTCATTTTTGAATGAGGATCAATCATAAGAACCAATTTTAACCACTAAACAAGCATCACTGTCTAATTATTACTGTATTTCTCTCTTATTGAAGTGTACACTGTTCCTTTTAGAAGGACTTACTGTTCACTGTCAGACATGAAGTTGATCTTAGACTTTGGTCTCCTACAGTACAACACACACACACAAAAGCAAATGTACAGTTTACATTACATACAGTATCAACTGCCCTGTGTCATTTTTTTTATCGTGTTTTAACATTGTAATGACCACTTTTAACTACAAAACAAGCATTGCTGTCTATTTCTTACTGTATTTCTCTCTTAATGAAATGTAAACTATTCATTTTAGAAGGACTTACAGTTCACTGTCAGACATGTACTCAATTCCAGGTCTATTACAACACACATAAAAGCAAAAGTTTAACAAATATCGAAATATGACAGATGTAGTCAATTTAATGTTGATTAGTGTTTTACAAATTCTAACTTTTCAGGATGCACTTTACAAAAAAAAAAAAAAAATACTCAGCAAAATTATAATAAATATTATATAATATATAAATGTACATACACTTCATAAATGTCTCTACTATGAATTGTGTGGCTAACTCTGATGGATTTAGCATTACAGCATGATATTGCTGTAAGCAACATCATCACTCTCAGCTGAAAAAGAAGAGACAAAGATGTAAATTATGATCATTGGATTTCAAAATTAAGAATGGCAATGCAAAATAAAAACCATTATAATAAATGATAAACATAATTGCCTGACTGAAAACCAGTATAAACAATTGTAAAACTACTTATACTGTTAATACCTTTACAGTTACTGTGTACATAAATAAACACTCAATAACAAAGCAGAAACTGCTCAAAACAATGGAACAAAACGTCCCAAATTATAGCTAATACATCATTAATGATATCCATGTCACTTTATTACTTTAAATTGTATTAAATTTACAATATAAATGGATACAGTACCATATTGTGAAGAGACATGGTGAGCCACTAGAAGATCAATATAAATGCCAGAAATGTTTCCCAGACTCTTATTAAACACCTTATATAGTAGAGTTGGAATAAGAAATGAGACTGACACATTTTTCACCCAATTGCATCCTTACAGCATCTTTCTTATTGGTGGTAAAACGAGCTTAAAATAATGAGATTCCATAACCAGTGCTCACATGCTTTTGTACATCAGTGTCAATATGATATCTGTTTGCAAAAGAAATAATTTCTGTTGATGAGCTGATAAGTGCATTCAAATAACGCAGTAATGCAAATGGATGCAAAGTAAATACACTTAAAGGGATAGTTTAATCAAAAATGAATATTTGCTCACTATTTACTCACCCTCAAGTGATACCAAACCTTTTGTTGAACACAAAAGAAGATACGTTAAAGAAGGCTGAAAACCTCTAACCACAGATGTCTGTAGTAGGAAAAGCAAACAATATGAAAGTCGATGGTTACAGGTTTTCAGCTTTTTTCAGAAAATTTTATTTCGTGTTCAGAACAGAAGAAAGAAACTCATCAAGGTTTGAAACTGAAAGAACTTTAGAGCTTGTGGTTTCCAATAATCAAATTAGATTCTGAGAGTGTGACGAATAATAAACTATGCTAAAACAAGTTTCACTCATGTGATAATGCTGAGTTAATCTGCTGAAGAAAGAAAAAAGCTACTGGTACACAATCCAAAAAGCAATTGGGTCAAATGCATATGTAACACCATCACAAAAACTTTAAATATGTTAATTACAATAATTACAGTAAATTACAATGGTTCTTTTTTGGAAAATGAGGAAACCAGTTTAACAAGGAAAATCTCTAGTCTTGTGGTCCCACTGCTCTGCACGTTTAATATAGTTTTTCTGATCTGACCAAAACACTCAAAAATTAGATACATTTTTATGGGCAGATGCAATTGAAGATTGATAAACTAAGGCCCCCAAAAGAGTTTAAATAAATATAACAAGTGAAAGAAAAAATCTGTATCACTTTATTTTGATTGTCCCTTTAATGCATTTTGTTGAATATAAGTTACATTCTATCCACAAGCCAATTAACTCTCATTAGATAAGGGCTCTATTTTGACGATCCATGCGCAAAGCGCCGGGCGCAGACGCTTTCAGGGCGTGTCAGAATCCATTTTTGCTAATGTAAGGACAGAAAAATCCACTTTGCTCTGTGGCGCATGGTCTAAAAGAGTTGAGTTTATTTTCTTAATGAGTTATAGGTGTGTTTTGAGAATAAACCAATCAGAGTTCCATCTCCCATTCCCTTTAAGAGCCAGTCGCGTAGCGCCATGGCACATTTGCTATTTACATGACGTAAAGTAAGTGGAAGTGGAAAAACTGAGCATTTCACAAGCAAGAAAACAGTTAAACAGAGCATCTACAGCGCGAGAATGAGAGATAAATTAATAACTTTCCCTTTCGCTCTCGTGGATAGGGAAACTCTGTATGCACAGACATCAATTAGCCTATAAATAATTAATTTCGTTTGTTAAGCGCAGTGATTTGTTTCTAAAACAATTTCTAAATTCAGTTCTAATTTTCAGCAAACGAATAAATACACAATAATAACGAAGTGTGTTGAAAAACCTGAGTTATATCTTAATACACATGCTATGCCTCATATGGTCTACAATCTGACAGGTGGGCAAGTCTAAGCTTGTTTTTGATAAAACAAATATAAATATAGATATAATAAATAATACTGCTAATAATAATAACATTATACAAAAGAAAATTGAATGAACTCAAAACGCCTCCCAAGATGAAGAAGGTATGAAGGCAGTGGTTTTTAAATTTATGTTGGCTAGAAAATAATGTTTTGTAATATGTTAATCCTTTATATTTATATCCTATATATATTCTTATTATATCTTATATATATCCTTAACATTTATATCTTTTTCATATGTAAAGATATTTGAGTATTGCTGTACATCTTGTGTGTATTAAGCAGTGTGTATGTGAGGCGCAACTCTGCGCTGGAGTTTCGACCGGGTTTGTTTTGGTCTAATGAAAAATCTATTTTAGTTTCTCAAAATAGCAATGCGCTAGCAGTGCGCCTAAGAACGTCTTCCTTTTTAGACCAGAACGCCTATGGGCGCACATATGAGCGCAAATGCATTTGCTATTTAAACAGTGTAGCGCAACGCCTCAAAACGACTCTTGCACCAAGCTGAAACTAGCAAACAACTATTGCGTCGCGCCGTGCGCCACATTGTGACGGGTGTATGATAGGGCCCAAGTAGACTGTTAGGTTGGGGTTAGGGTTAGTGTAAGTTGACATGTTCTTGTAAAGTTACTGATAGTCAGGTTAAAGGAGCAGTATTAGCAGATATTAAGCAGACAGTCTACTAATACTCAAATGAGAAATCATTGGCATGTAGTTGCAATGCAGAATTTAATCAACAAACTGTGCAATAGGGGCCATCAAAATAAAGTTTTACCAGTTAATCAAACATTGTCAAAATGTTTTCCTGAATACACAGCCAGAATTAATATTATTATTTTGGACCTCTAATTACTCTGGATTTATTTGGAATAATGTTAGCTTACATAGGCTTTGTAGAATATATTTTTTTCCTTAAAAAATAATTGTCAGAGTTTAACATTAGTGATGTAGCTGTCTCAGCTGGTGTGCGTGTGAATATGTAGGCAAACACCTGTTTGCACGAATAATTACTTTACTCAAATTTATTTTTAGCCAAAGCATATAGGCTATTAAATGGTTCCTAAGTAAATAGTCTTGGAAACTGGAACAACTCCACATTTTTTCATTCATTTATTCATTTTATTGTCGGCCCAGTGCCTTTATTAATCTGTGGTTGCCACAGCGGAATGAACTGCCAACTTATCCATCATAAGTTTACGAAGCTGATGCCCTTTTAGCTGCAATCCATCACTGGGAAACACTCATACACACTCTTTCACACACATACACAACGGACAATTTAGCTAACCCAATTTACCTATAGCGCACGTTTTTGGATTTGTGGTGGAAACCGGAGCACGTGGAGAAAACCCACTCCAACACAGGGAGAACATGCAAACTCGACACAGAAATGCCAAATACCCACTGTGCCACCATTCTGCCCCTCCACATTTATTTGTTTTTTAAAAACAATTCTTGAATTCTAAAAAAAGTAATCACTCTATTGCTTTACCCCCTTACTATGTCATAAGTACATTCAGACAGTATGCGCAGTACAAAAGGTTTGCTTATGTCAGTGCATTAATATTTGAAAGCGAAGAGGCAGTAGCTGCTGGCAGTTTTCTACAGTGACAAGGCAAAACAGGGATTTACCATGAGGTTAAGCTACAGTATTTAAAACAGATTCTTGATATGATGGTTGCTAAAGGACAGGCTATTGATATTGTCTATTAAATTTGGCATGTGTCTAGTGTTTTAATTATGCAGTACAACCAAACACAGCGTCAGTATTGTTATCGTGGGCACTTAAAAAAAATTGATACCTTCAGTATTACTACATTGCAAGATCACATAAATTGGAGTGTACTTTCTTATTGTGCATGTTTAGCACAGAAGCACAAGATTTATTCACTCTCAGACAAAAGGAGGTGCTTGTGGACCAGCAGAACTGCAGTAAGTAGCCTACCATTTTATTACTGTTTTGTCAAAGCATTTTAGATGAAACTGTAGTTTGGTATGGGACCTTTTTGACAACTGCATTGAAATAAATATGCAGTTGCTTTTTCCAGTTTGTTGACAACTCTATACGTTCTGGCAAATAAATGCTGTTTTTATGAAGTAAAATAGATCCAATGGAATAAATGGTATCAGATGTGAAATTGTAGGAAAAGCAGATCTACATCTTAACAGTTACTAAAGCAATGGCTATCCTCTGCCATATTTACATTGCATCTAGTGTATTTTACACTAATTCTTTGCAATACCACATGAAGACATCCTGTTTTTTTTCATAAGGCAAAGTAAGTGGCAAAAATCATAACAAGTTTATATATGACCCATGCACTATAATTTCTATATTATGTATCAATGTATTCCAATGTATCAATATTTGGTGTGAAAATCAACAGTAGATACCAGATAAACAGATTAGTTGAGAATTATCTGACACCTAAACTCGGGTTAGCAAAGCTGGCTTTTGTTTGTGCTTTTCAAAGCTAGATATGCTACACTGATAATAACTATCCATTATTTGCATGGTAAATGACATTTTGAGGCTTGGCTGTAGTTGTGTGTCTGTCTTCTCTAATTCTCTTTGTTAGTCTCTCTCAATCGCCTTCTCTTTCATTCACAGGAAAGACATAATGAGATAATTGTGGACTTCCTGGTGCAATCAGATTGCCTCATTTAATTACAATATAATATTAGAATTCCCTCATCGCCAAACAAGTCTGCAACTTGGCAAACACAGAGCTAAGCTGAGACTAAAGTATTGTGGTCAAGTGTGTTGGTTTCTTCACCATTCAATATTTCCCCACAGTTTCACCCTAACAACTTTATTGGAAATATTGGTGTATTCAAATATTCTTTGATGCTTGCTTGATATAAAGTTTTACTGCTTATTCAATAAAGAACTTACAGTATATGTGGTTACTTAGTTATTGATTGATTTTATTTACTCTTTGGTTAAAAAACATTCTCATTGTCAATATGTCTTTAACTGTACTTCGAAAAGTAGTTCAATATATAGTTAAGTATATAAATACAAAGGCGCTGCTGGCCGGTTAAGGGCACTATGACGACATTTTGTGGGTGTTGCAGATGAAAGGGAAAGCAAGGGGTTGTTCTGGCGGGACCCTAATAGTATCTTTGGGGGCCCCAAAATGGCATGGGCTTTTAGAATCTTCCTAACTTTCCCCACCCAGCGCTGCCCCTGTATGTATGCAATATATATACATTTTCAAACAAACATGAAAATGCATGCTCAGGTATGTTTGTTTTATTTATAATGCTTTATGTATCAGCTCATTCAACATAATGTAACCTTGTACTGTATTTTATAAGAGTTTTTCCTGTTCAGGATTTTTCAGATTATTCATTGTCCTCAGCTGCTTCCTGAGAGTTATCTGCAGGTTCAGCTTCAGGTTCAGCTTCTGCTTCTTCTTCAGGTTCAGCTTCTGCTTCTTCTTCAGGTTCAGCTTCTGCTTCAGGTTCTGCTTCTTCTTCAGGTTCTGCTTCTTCAGGTTCTGCTTCTTCTTCAGGTTCTCCTTCAGGTTCAGCTTCTGCTTCAGGTTCTTCTTCAGGATCTGCTTCTTCTTCAGGTTCTGCTTCTTCTTCAGGTTCTGCTTCTGGTTCAGCTTCTGCTTCAGGTTCTCCTTCAGGTTCAGCTTCTGGTTCAGGTTCAGCTTCTGGTTCAGGTTCAGCTTCATTTGGCTCACTGGGGACTTCTTGTGAGTCTTGCTCTTCACTGATGACACACACACATGCACACAAACACATACACAAGCGCAAAGTCAGTTTAATCTGTGGTGTTATACTTTATACAGAACTATGTTTACGCAAAATCATTCTTAAAAATGTCACACGAACACAAACTACACAAATATGTTTAGTCCCATTTTAAGAAGATCATAACTAAAACCGTCCAATGGGATTGTGCTTATTAGTGCTTATATTACTGCTTATTACACAATCCCAATGGGTTTAGGATTTTACTTGGATTGTTTTGGATGTCCATATAAGTCTTCATAATCATCAGCAATGATCTGAGGGGTGGTGGGGGGTTCTGGTGGGACGCTGTTATCAAATTGTTCCCATGACCTTCAAGACACAATCATAAAAACATTATAAACATGAACATTTTTCAGTTTTCTCTGAGAAATACAGAAATGTATTTGTTCTATAAATGTTCAAGTGAAGTGGGCAGTATTTGAATAACTTAAATTGGTTTCATGCATAGTTTTCTAATAAAAGAATTATAAGAAAAAATATCAAGGTAATTAAAAAACAACAACTATAAATGAAGAGTGCAAGCATACTGTACCTTTCACAACAGATAATTCCAAAATCAACACAGACACAGGTTTCAGGTCCATTCTCCCATTCAGAGTTAAATTCGTGGAGATTTCCATCAGAGTCAGAACAACCTGAATCAAACATAGAAATGTATTTTGAATATAATTACTTTATCCAGGATTGTAAATGTACAAACACAGAAACACTTTTACATTTAATCTAATAAGAAAAACTTACTAAATCACTGTAAAATTCCAAAATTGACTTAAAATTTGAAGGCAACAAACTTTTCAACCCAATTACTGCACTTGACTCAATTTAAGTTGAGTAAACTGCCCTGAGGTTTGTTGCCTTAAAATTTTAAGTTACATACAGTAATTAATAGATACAGTAATTAATGTATTGTTCACTGTTTATTCATGTTGGTCATTACATTTTCTTTTTAATTTGGATTTTTTAATTCATTTTGTATGTCAATGGCTAGAATACACTTTTAATTAAAAAACATGTCTAAATGATTGAAATCATAAAGCGTATTTAAATGAATAACATTTCATTAAGAGTGCAGAGAAAAGCAACTCTGAACCCAAACCCAATGTTTAAAGAAATACTGTAGTTCACCCCAAAATAAAATTTCTTGCTCTCAAGTTGTTCCACACTTGTTTGAGTTTCTTTCTTCAGAGCATATTTTCTAGTTGCTATCTTGGTTGCAAGTTCCATAGCATTTTTGTTCTAAACTACACTGTAAAAAACAATGAGTTGACTCTTCTTTAAAAAGTGAGTAGACCCAGTGCTTTTAATGTGATTAGTTGATTTTACTTAAAAGGTGAGTAAACCCATTGCCTTAAAATCAAGTAAATTAACTATGTGCACTACATAATTATAAAAATTAAATCGTCAACTTAACAATTACAAGTTACAACAGGTTTACCCCTATTTACTAAACTAATAGTAAATAATATTTTTTCTTAGACTGTATAGAAGTGGTGAAGGGCAACTGTGAGCTTACATTTGAATTGAACTATTTCCTTAAGCACACATTGTCTCGGCAAATCTTTAACAGTGTAATCTCTCTAAGTTTTAATAAGTATCAATGAAAACATCAAATAAATAAGTCCACATGCAGCAGACCATAGTTGAGAAATCAATTTGTAATTTTCATCGGCCAAAACTCACATTGTCATATTCTCGCAGCTACTTGTACATGTGTACAAATATATTTTAACATTTAAGTGTAGTTTAATTTCCCCATAAGACGAGAAGCATCACCTTGTGGTTTGTCAGTGGTGTCTTCAGAGAAACCTTCCAGTCTGCAGGCATTGCAGTAAGCCACTGCTGCTAACAGCACTAATAGCTTCATCATCTAAAAAAAAAAAAAAAAAAAAAAAGTTAAACATAAATGTGCATTAATGTAAAAAGACATTTTAAATAACAATCTAGAAATAAAAACTGGCCATACTTTATTTTGATGGTCCGTTTGTTAAATTTAAGTTATATAGCATCTACATGCCAACTAATTCTCATTAGATTATAAGAAGACTGTTAGGTTGTGGTTGGGGTTACGGCAAAGTTTCTTAGTCTAGACATTTAGTCCTAGTCAGTTAAATGTCTGTTAAAGGAGCAGTATCAACAGATATTAAGCAGTTTTCTAATCCTCAAATGCACCATCAAAATAAGTGTTGCCTAAAAATACATCTTTTTTATTTTATGCACATACTGTAAGACCTAAAAATAAAATATTATTATTTCTGCCCTACACTCTCTGAAATATCTAAGTTATTGTTTATTTATTTTTCACAACAATGGACAGTGTACATTAATCAGTGTTCACCAAGAACATAAATGTTCCCAAATAAGCCAAAAGACTTTCATTGGTAATCCCTTTAATGTTAAACCAATAAACCAATAAAAATACAAATTCAAACTAAAAGCAATACTCAAATAAACAACATAAAACAACAACAATAGCAAAAAGCCTAGTCATCACAATGTTGATTAATAAGAAGCCATTTCCTAAAATTATTCTTAAATGACTTAAAAGATTCACATTCAGATTGCGGTATCATATTCCACTGATGTGATCCTGTTAAAGAAAAACAAGCTTTTTCTAAGTGGAATAATACAATCCGCTCTAGCTGCACCCAGAGTCACTCTGTTTTCTACAGCTTCTACATTATTATACAGAGTATACAGACCTGATGGTACCTTTCAGAAAAGGTACGTGTTTGTACCCAAATGGTCTGCATCTATCTATCTATCTATCTATCTATCTATCTATCTATCTATCTATCTATCTATCTATCTATCTATCTATCTATCTATCTATCTATCTATCTATCTATCTATCTATCTATCTATCTATCTATCTATCCATCTATCTATCTATCTATCTATCTATCTATCTATCTATCTATCTATCTATCTATCATCTATCCATCCATCCATCCATCCATCCATCTATTATCTATCTATCCATCTATCCATCCATCCATCCATCCATCCATCCATCCATCCATCCATCCATCCATCCATCCATCCATCCATCCATCCATCCATCCATCCATCCATCTATCTATCTATCTATTACACAAAAAGTGCAAAAGTGTTCCTTTCGAAATGAAAGAGTGAATACGTTCCTTGAGTCATGAAGAAAGTTATACTGGGAAAAACATCTGCCAGAAGTGATACCCAAAACCTGCTGTTAAGAATAGAAATTGTACAGTACCATGATGTGACGAGATGTGAGGAGTACAAGAAGACTGTTCAATCAAATATGCAAGCACAGGCACTGTAGAAAATCTGTTGAAATGCTTCAATAAATACTGCCTGCAAATATTTGACTGATAGCCAGTTGCTCCAACCAGTGAGTAGCCGCTGTGGCAGCCCCCCATTATTCTGCATACATTAGGCCTACTTAATGGCTACTTGACATCAGCAATTGTTGCAAAAGCCCAGCACTGATCCAATCCAAAATATTTACATTGGTGGAGTATGATATTAGATATATATTTGAACTTTCGTTGACACCTCAACTTCAAATAAAGCTTCTATTCATGTTTTCCAAGAACTGCTCGAGGTTTCTGAATGGAAATAATCAGTAATAAAATGTGACTTTATATTTTTTCTGTCACTATGATTGTGCTTAATAGATCTAAGTGAACCTGAAGGGTTAAATGGCACAGCAGCAAGATATGAAATAGAAATGTATTTACTAATGAACAAACATAATTAGAAAGTTAAATCCTCATAAATATTATACTTGTTAATTTATTTCTCTAACTTGTTATGATTTGTGTGATTCTGTATCACACTGTACAAGAACATTCAAACAATTGCCAGAGATTTAAATTAGGCAGGGATTTATTTAATATGAAGAAATAAAATTAGTAAAAAATAAGATAAAAAATGATGCTGTAGTTGATATAAGCTATAATTTTTGCAGCACTGACCATATTTTAGTCTGTAAATTAAATAATTAAACCTGTTATCTATTTATAATCTTACATTAGAATTGCTCCCTTTAAGCATTTACACTTTTAACAGCAATGTTGTCATCTCTCTTACGTTTTTTTTTAGCAACAAAGAATGGGTGTGTTTGTGTGCATTTTATTTATCGTGGTTGCAGTATCAATCCAAAATTAAACTAATATGGTGGGAGCAGGACCTTGGGATCTTGACCAGGAGATAAAGCTTTTGGAATTGATTTCATGAGCTAGTGGAGCATGTACATTTAAATTAACCAGTTACATACACCACCGGTCAAAAGTTTGGGGTCAGTTTTTTGGGGGGATTTTTTTTTTCATATTTTTTTTTTTGAAAAAGAAAATTATTCTGTTCATCGAGGTGGGATTTATTAAATGTTTTTTTTAGATATTTTAAATATGTGTTTATTACTAATTGTATGTAGTTTCAAATTAAATTATTACTAAAAGTCATTATTGCTTTTATTACTATTACCATTATTATTAATAATATTAATAATAATACTAATAATAATAACAACAATAATAATAAATAATATTACAGTGATTTCTTAAAGATCATGTGACTCTGAAGACGAAAAGGAGCAAAGAAGCAAAAAAGCATCAATAAAATCATTAGAACAAATTATTTACTTAAATGTTAAACTACTTTTGAACAGTAATGTGCAATAACATTTCACAGATTTACAATTTGTTTGTATTCTTGATTAAATAAATGTAGCCTTGACGGCAGCACTACCCACTGCAACACTGCATCGCCCCTTCCCCACATTAGTGTCCAGCTATGTGCAGTTTAAACTTGTAAAAGTGATTTAAGCGTGCATCAATATTAATGTCAAATTCAGTGTTGGAACACAATGCAAAAATAACAAGTTTAGGATCTCTACCAATCAAAATAGTAATTAATGCATAACATTACATCCAGTATGATCCTACTCATAAGAGTGAAGTTAAAGTAGAAGTTTTTTTTTTTTGGTTTATTTATTTTTTATAGCAACACTTTATTAATATAAGTATGATTAAGAAAGTTTTGGCTAAATAATTAACACATTAAATTAAAAAAAGTACAGGAGGCTATGTGCTGAATCGTTTTGTTTTGTGCTTCACAAGAAACCAAGCAAGCACATTATTCTTGTGTTTGTTGACTCTTTTATCCGTCAGTGCAACGCAGCCTCTCATGCCCGAAACGCATTTATAGCATTGCTAACTTGCTTAATTTAGCGCGTGGCATATTGTGGGTTCACCTGCTTGCATGTAGCCTATGCAGAATGTTTTTACCAAACTATGAACTGTATGAAACAGCTTTTTAGTGCAAAAAGCGGATTCAGAACTTTCACTTTGTGTAATTTCAAGGGCAATGAAAAGGCACATGCTGTGTTCCCTCTCTTGTTTACTCGCGAGACTTTTTTTTTTACCTTGTTTTTATCTTGAAATTGCTTTTTCCCGTCTTCGGGTCGTCCTCGATTTGAAAATAGCTTCTTTAATGAAACTTCGACATTAACTTCTTTCGATGAGATGTTAATTTGCATCAGCAGCAACTGAAAGTAGAGAATAAAGTATTGGGATGGCATCCGGGTGGCCAATCATATGACAGGGCTGTCCAGTGCCACCCTGGCCACCCCTTTGGCTCCGCCACAGTGCTTAGAGCACATTATAGTGAACAGAACTACTTTTGATACTGCTATTTCTATTCTATTCTATTCTATTCTATTCGTTCTTTTGACCATGTAAGCATTGCGGTGTTCTGTCTCTGTAGAACTATTCTGCTTGTCTTCATTAAGCTATGTTGGTTGGTAAAAGCCAGCAATAAACAGTTTGCTGCCCTCTTGTGATATAAACTATGCGTTGCATGTTCTCTTCAAGTTCTTCCACTGTTAATATGTTAAGCAGCCTGACTTTACACCATTCAAGGCTAACACTGACACACAAGCACAGACAAACACAGATGCATGGTTTTACATATTTATTTAAAATGCTGTTTAAATCATCAGCTTATCAGGCCACCTATAGTCTGGTGTTTTGCTGTCCACTCAGGGTGTTTCTTCACTGGTTCATTGTCCTCATGGATCTCCAGAACCATCAGCACTGTAGTCGAGATCACTGTTCAAATACACACAAATGTACAGCATGAAACTAGCCATACATTGCACCAGTGTCACCCCATCCCAGCACACAAATGTATAGTGACCTTTTTCAATAAAAAGAAAATCTATGATTATTATTGTTTTATTATTATTATTATTATTATTATTATTATTATTATTATTATTATTATTATTATTATTATTATTATTACCACTACTACTACTACTACTGCTACAAAAGATTAGCTACAGGATTCCTGTTAGTAAATCCTTCATTACTCTTTAAATAAGCCTTACATTATTTGAAAATTTTTACTGCACAAAAAGTAGAACATGCTTCAAATAACAGGATGGCATCTTACAAGCATAAGTATAAAGATAAAGATTGTTCTGTTAATTATAATCTTGCTTAATAAAGCAATGCTTGGATTGCCTAATAAAACTGGACATGTTCAGTGCTAATTAATTTATCAAATGACTGAGTTTAATGATTTGGCAGCTCAGATGCAAAGCCTCAGCTTTCAAATCGAAAAACATTTAATGATAGCATAAACAGAAAAATGCGACTACTGATAAAACACTACCTCTAAACTGCTGCAAAATGACATTTCCCATAACTGTGGGTGCAAAATTATTATACAACACGTGTTACCACACACATGGATACAAAGGAATAATCATGTCATATTTGATGATGATATAATATAAAAGCCATAGAAGGTTTGAACATTGTGTGTTTGCTATGCAAATAATATTGGAAGCTAGTAAATAGGTGCAACTTTGTTTAATAACAAACTCAAACCAGAGCCAATCCTAGACTTCTAGGGGCCCTAACCAACTCTTAGAGGAGGCCCCATGAGAGTACATTAATACAATCTTCTAATAAAAAATAACCCTAATATACAGCACAAACACAGACATTATATCACTTTAAACTATTGAAAATATCCATAAATGTTACTTTTACAAACTTTTTAACATCAAATGCTTTTGGAGGAAAGATTAAGGTCCCATAATGCAATTCAAAACATAATTAAGTGGGGAAAAAACAGATTTCACAATATATGGACTAATTGCTAAATGAATCAATGAACAATAAATTTTTATCCTAAAACACTTAATGAAACCGAACAAATTCAGTGTTCAATGTTTCATTAGACTCTTAAAAATGAGAAACACGTAACATTAACAGAAAAAAACAATCTCAACTACTGATGAAGCATTGCTCTCTGTTTCTAAATTTAAACTGTTGCAAAATGACTTTCCCATAACTGTCTCCATTGGGCGCACCATTATTTTTCAGTATGTGTTACAACACACACGGATACAAATGAATAATAATGTAATATGTACAGATCATATCATTTTACAATCATAGAACAACAGTGCACTTTCTCTTGCTTTGCTAGCGTGCTAAATAAATAAATGAATAATACAATTTTATCACTTTTGTCTTGTATTGCTTAATACAACTAACAATTTCAGTGTTGATTATTTCATCAAACACGTAACATTGAGAAACACGTACCAATAACAGAATAACAAGACAATCTTAACTACTGATGAAGCATTGCTCTCTGTTTGCAACTAACTGTCTCCATTGGACGCACCATTATTATACAGTACGTGTTACAACACACACAAGAATAATAATGTCATATTTGATGATGATATCGCAATAAAAGCCATAGAAGGTTTGAACACTGTATGTTTGCTATGCAAATATTAATGGCAGCTAGAAAAGAGGTGTAACTTTGTTTATAACAAACTCAATCCAGAGCTGTTCCTAGACTTCTAGGGGCACTAAACAAACTCTTAGAGAATAATGAGTAATAAAATCTGAAAATAAACCAAAACTTCTTGATCTGACACACATGCACCTATTGAATGTCCACTTTTAGAGGCTGTTTAGACAAAACTGTGTGTAGGTATATTGGGTCCACGGTCATATTTCAAGAGTTCACACTCAGCTGATGATTGATTATAAAGCTTGTTTGCCATGCTGTACCGGGAGAGCTCTGAGCTCAAAATATCCTCGAGCCCAGGGCTCGCTCCCACTTGTTGGGTGAGAGGGGAGATTGTGCTTAAGTCCCTGCTTATTTTTGGCTAATAAAGAATTTTCTTTATGAACGAAAAGTACTGTTGGCTAAAAACTCAACTATGGTTCCAGTTTGGTTTCGTCAGTTCACTTATGACCCATGTCTTTAGACAGGAGGAAACCAGGGAACCTGGGGGAAACCAATGCGAGCATGAGAGGAACATGTAAACTTCACACAAAAACGTCCACTGGCCTAGTAATGATTCGAACCCATGACGTTCTTGCTGTTAAGCAACAGTACTAACCACTGGGCTGCTGTGCTGCCCAATCTAGAAAATAAAGGAATGAAATAGGGAAGGTTTTTTCAAGACGAAAATGATTGTGGTATCAATATGGTTATTAATAGTGACCTCATGTGTTAGCTAATGCAGATTCAGTCATGGTCAATCATAACCATGTGTTCCTCTTAAAATTAATTCATAAATAAACCTCACATAGTAATTAAATCTCCTTTTTTTCTTAATTATTGCTATGGAAGTCAATGATGAAGTCATCTTGTACAAAATATCTTGTACAAAATAGAAAGAAACTCAAACTTGTTTGGAACAAGTGAAGGAGGACTAAATGATGATTTTCCTTCATGAAACTATAGTTTGTGTCCAACAGTAGACAGAAACACACACAGTTATCGCTATATGCAGATTGATTTAGAAGCATGTTTGCATTCATGTTAATAGAATATGAATGTTTAGCTCGACTTACTGGTATCCATTTTCAGGTTTGTTGTCGTTTTTAGTCGTTCCAGTGGTCACGTCACCATTTGCAGATCTGTTACAACAATGTATATCTTATTTCGACATGTTAACTCATAATACATCCTAGCATCCAACAAGGCTGAGGGTTTACTTAAATCTGGCTTAGTAGTAAAGAATATTGGGTTTAACTTTTGTTCATGTGGTCAGATTGCAGACATTGCTTTCTCTGTTTTATTTTACTGACCTTCTCCTAATAAAGTGTAAACTAATGCAGTGCTCATTTAACAATAACTTACGGGGTCTGGATATTGTGTCCAGGTTGTCCATGGCCATTTAAAAATCTGTTAAAACACAAAGATATAACAATGATCCTATATGTCAGATAATGGTGCCAGCTTAATTGCATCTACAGAAGAATATCTTTATTTGCAACAAGACAAATGAAAACATTGCCAAATTTTGGACTGAAAAGCACTTAACATTTACACTTTTTGCCAAATGATTAAAGATTGCTAACTACTTTTCACTTTATCGATCAAAATATCGATAATTTAGAAAGACTTACTCTTCACTGTCTCCATTCGGTGGACCAGTGTTGTATCTTTTACACCACACACAGATGCAAAGCAATAAAAATGTCAGATCACATTACAAGAATAAATGTACATAAATAATGACATTACTGTACATAAAAAAAAAAGTTTAGTCTTGTATTGATTAATGGACAAGTTGACATTGAGGAACACTCAACATTAAGAGCACAATGAGATCATTTTAACTAAAGCATTGCTGTCTGTGTCTTTACTTCTCTAAACTGTTGCAAAATAACTTATCCATAGTTGTTTCTATTTGGGGCATCATTATAAATGTTTGATGAGGATATTACATTACAAGTTCTAGAGTGAATAAACATTATATGCTTATTATTCAAGCATAATAACGGCAGCTAGTAAAATGATAAAATAATGTTTAAGAAATCTCTAACCATTTTTGTTTTGCCTTGATGATATCGGACAAGCTCTGTGCTGTTATTGAATTAAGGTGTACAAATGAATTTAGGATATTATTTGAAGATTATGCTGTTTGAGTATTGGAAAAACGTTAAACCATTAAAGACTTAATTTGTCATCATTTAACAACAACATGAACAGAATACTGAGAGAATCTTAATGATTGATGAAGCATTGCTTTTTCTCATAATATTTTCCTCTTAAATGTAAACTGTTGTCATTTATTTTACAATGACTTGTAGTAAACATCTCCAAACGGGACTGCTCTACTGTACATCTGTCAACACACACAAATGTAAAGGTAGCATAAAAATCTGAAGTCATATTTAACAATGTTACATGTACTGTACATTTAGGCCTAGAATAAATATAAAATTTTCTCTTACTCTACAGGTGGAGTAATGGCAGCTAGTAAAGAGACAGAGAGGTTGACATAGTTGACTTCCATATTAGGAAAAAGAAACCGTCTGGTTCTTCAAAAATCTTTATCAAGAAATAAATGTTTAAATGTTTGGAACACTGTGAGGGTGAGTAAAATTTCGAAATACAGAGACTTTCCAATTTACTTCAGAAATATTGCTCTCAGTTTCTCACTAATATATATTGTGCTAATGAAAAGGTATACACTATAAATATAGCACTTTAGTAATATATAAAGACCCATTAACTACTTGGCTGTTGCCTCCAACATGTTAGATTGTTTTAACCCAACACTGTCACCAGGCCAGGATTGGCTAATTGGGAGCACCGGGAACAATCCGGGTGGGTCGGTCTGTTTTTTGACCACGAGGGCTGGTGTCCCTAGCTGCTTGCACTCTCAGCAGTTGCACTTTATTCACTTATTTATTTATTTGACCATAGCCACACTATTTTTATTTATTATTTTGCAG